AGTGTGTGTGTGTGTGTGTGTGTGTGTGTGTGTGTGTGTGTGTGTGTGTGTGTGTGTGTGTGTATGTGTTGCAAAGAAATGAAATGCAGTTTCGACCCCAATTTTATATACTCATTTCTGTTTGTATATTAACAGATGTTTATTGATGGTCTAAAAAATGCCGGCTTTGTTTCGTCAAAAATGCATAGTCTAGGTTAAAAAAGAGATACCTTTATTCCGGCGTTTGTGGTTATGTGGTTTAGTCGTTGTGTGCTTCAAAATCGATTTTTTTTCGGAGATGGTCTCCCCATTTAATATTCTTGCAGTGTTGAAAGTGGAGGAGATTCAAGCCATGCTTTTCCACTGAAACTTTTAAAGGCGGAAAAAGGGATGGGGGTACATAGTTTTTTCAAAAACAGTAATGAACAAACCCGACACTTAGAATGGAATGATATTTTATTAAGTTTGGTCAATCATAGTCAAAGTATCAAATGTCTTTTTGATGTTCAAATCAGGACGTAAGAGTAAGATCAATCACATCGAGCTACAAGGTCTAAGCAATGACAGAAATAAAAGAAAAATTGAAGAAAAGAAAAATAACGGTCCGACTAATGGTGTTGTTCCAATAAGAGAATATTATATCAAAACAATATATGCATGTTCCTGAGCGAAACTCTCATCATGTCATGCGATTGTTGCTTACATTTTACGCCTGCATCGAACCAGTTTATAGCATAAAATAGTATAAGTATTAGTAGACTGGAGTTTCAATCCTGTCTGTCAGCGCAATCGTAAGCTAAGATGGATACTGCATTCCAGTTGGGTTTTTTTAAAGGTGACAATGTATAAAACAGACTTCTTCATTTACAAATCAAACTGACGTCGCATGCGAACACTTTCAAGCCCCTAACCGTTACATCACCGATGTCGGATTTTCGCCTCAGTGTAACTGCCCTGACATGTTACAAGTGCAGCATCATATTTTTAGTCCTATGGACGGAATTATTTCAGAAACACCTGATCAGTGCGCGTGAAATAATTTCATAGTAAAATTGAATACTGTTGATTAACAACATTTTAGAAAAGAAAAGAAATTGGTACATTCGAACTTTCTCAGATGCACACACACACAAAAGTTCATGCGTACAACAGTAATTTCACGTTCACATTAGGAATTCAAAACGAAGTTTGCATGACAAAGCATGATCTTTTTCGGCGTCTATGATGTAACGATTGACAGGTTCTTCGACTTGAACATTTAAAGTGCAAATTCGATTCTCACGACCGATGGAATAGGCCTACCTAATCCAGAATATCAGTGTGTCTGCTTGGGTATCCCAAACAGCCTGGTCTGGCCCTATCTGACAGGGTCAAGGTAGTCTGCCTCCTAAAAGATCGAACTTGTAAAGATAGGGGCTTGAAATATTTAAGAGTTGCAACAAAATCCAGCTACTTGGTGTGTCGTGTGTTAAGCAAAAACAACTCTCAGAAATTAGAACTCTGTTTATAAGATAGTTCCAAAATTTCTTACCGTACCCTGTTTAAGAAGAGTAACTTAACCAGAAAATGGTTTGAAAAATTACGGCTCTTTTTGCAATTCCAGAAGGCAGCCGACCCCCCCCCCCCCTTCTCTCTCTCTCTCTCTCTCTCTCTCTCTCTCTCTCTCTCTCTCTCTCTCTCTCTCTGTCTCTCTCTCTCTCTCTCTCTCTCTCTGTGTCTATCTATCTATCTATCTATCTATCTATCTATCTATCTATCTATTGTGTAAGACAACTATCTGTACAAATCTCTATGTCTTCCCTAGCGTTTTTTTTTGGGGGGGGGGGTTTGGGGGGGTACATTATAATGGCACTGTGAAAGACGTCTACCGGTCTAAGACGGACACCTTTCCTCCTCAATAATGAACAGCCGTCTAATACAGTTTTGACTGTAATTTATTGATGGTCAACTGTCCCGACGGGTGAGCCTTTGGCTCAGACTCAGCAGAGACTAACACAGTGGGATATGGCGCGAATGGGAATTGTTCAAGACCCTCCAGCCACGATCCTATTCGATATAGACTTTTAATTTAGAGATCATGCTTACTAAACACTATATACATATGCAATACAGAAATGGGCATCAAAGCAATACGATTTTAACCACTTCACTCTTCTTTATACCCGGAGATTCCGCCAATCCACGCAAACATATTTCTAACAGTAACAGTTCAGATCTCCAAATTGGAGTCTAATAAAATACATTTAAGGTTAAAAAAATAATGCTCCTGTATTTAGACAGCTCAACGGTGTACGAGGCAACGTGTAGGCCGTTACAAGAGCACAGTAAAGTGAGCCCTGTAACTGTTAGTACAGAAGATTGAACAGAAGGATGAAAAAAGTAAACAGAACCCCACTTCTGCTCGAACCTCGGTGTTTTGTTTGGCAGGTCAAGTTCGTAACCGCCTTTTTCAACAACAGATGACTGGTGTCTGTGGTGTAGCGGTTGGGCGCTTCCTCCTTGAAAGCAGGAAATCCAGTTCGATTCCCGAGTGGGGATACATTTTTATCGAGTATAACTGTCTTTATGTTGGGATGTTATTTCCTCTCAGCCCAGGTTGGCCCTGACAAGAAGCGTCAGAATCCCGCCTCCTAGATGATTTAAATAGTTGTTGGGGGTTTTTTTGCAGCTATTAAGAACAAGGTATAGTTTTGGCGCCCCTTTGTTTCTTTGAACGCTGTGAGGCGGGACCTTCGAATATAATGTCCGCCTCTGATAAGATCGAGCCAATTGGATCGAGAGCCTTGGAAACTCCCCAGCATGTCTAATTTTGAGAACGCCTCATTGCGAGAGCCAAGGTCTTTTTGCAACACATGGTATGACAGTCCAGCGTGAAACGACTGAGCTAACCAAGCCTCGAAAATATCAATACATTAAAAATGTTTTAAATTATGAGAAAAAATTTTTTAAAATACCACTTGTATTTATCCACGAGGTGAAATTCGGGTAAAAGTATAAGGGCATCATGTACAATTCATACAAACATATTTCAAAGGTTCAAGCATCACTTCAGTCTCACACTATACGTTATTATGCTGATATAGCCAATGTAAAAAACAACAACAACAAAAATGACGAACAAGCATGGCTGTTTGCCACAATGCAGCAGCCTGTTTCTCATGTCTTGATGAAGGACACATCTACACACATAAACGCGGTGCCATCGACTTTAATTGGCATTATTATTATTTGCTAGCCGAGGCTCCCTTACAACACAAGCACTGGGTCCACGCCAAACGACACTAGCCATTAGTCAATGCTGTTATCAAACGGGCCATCAGTCGCGTGTGTCCATAGACTATAAAAGAGAGGATGAAAAGGACTGCCAGTTCCATCTCACTGACAATCTCATGTCCGTTTGGTCACACTCTGAATGAAAAAAGCGCACAGCATTCTGTTTGGAAATCCCAATTTCGATAAAGCCAATGAGAGTCACAAGGTCACTCTATAAGTGCATTGAACTCAAAGCATACATCATTTTTACTGCTTGTCCCTTTCACTCCGAGTTAGTGCGTTGACCTCAAAGATTCATTTTTACTATTTGCTGTACCACCTCGAGCTTTCTGAAGTCTTTAATCAACGCAAACGTTTTATATCCAATGAAATCTCGAAGCTATTATTATAAATAGGATAAATACTGATAACCTTGCTCATGCTCAATGTTCAACTATGTCTTAGTACTGCTTAGGGCATATCGTAGACCAGCCGTGTTGTTGTCAGAGCGTTGGGCTGATAGGATAAATTAGAAAAGTAATCAGGAACTCTCTCTGTTTGGAATCTCGAAATCCATGTTTTGAATATGTTGAGATTCCAAATAAATTATATTTAGACTAAAATAAAAAAAACTCGCTTAGTTGACGCTTAGCTGTATACTAGATATCACCCGGGACTTAACGAGAGCTTGTTGTCATAAGTGAGTTGAGTTGAGAGGATGAAAGAGATCATTAATCAGGAGCCCACCTTTTGTTCGAATCTCCGTGTTTCGCGTGGAAGATCAAGTGCTAGGCCATCTGTCGTTCGATCCCCGGAGTTTCCGAACGCGCGTTTGGGGTCCGAATATGGGCTATGTACTCTGTAGTCCAGCACGACACTAACTGAGCTCACTGACTTCAATTCCCACTAGGAGGAAACTATTTTATTCAAAACCTTCAGCTAGTCTTCTGCATCTCACAGCTGGGAGTCACCCCTAAAGACAGGGTCAAAGCAGCCGGCCTCATATATGATCTAAACTGTGGCGATGGGACCATTAGTAATTTACAATTCAAAGCCTGCTTCTCAACAAGTCATGCTTTTTCCCGAACTGTAATGCTTGAAAATTGGTGGTTGACGGGTGCTCCGATGTGTTTGATCATTCTTTCCTGTCAAACATCAGTCTCTCATCTTTCTTTTCTTTGCATGTTACTCTCTAGTAACACCTCAGATCTTCGGCACTTATGACCTATTTGTGTTGCAAGTGACTTAAAGCTTGAAAAAAGAAGAGCGGAAACCAGGAAGGTTCTACAACGTCGGAGAGGCAGGTCGCAGGTACCTCATGGCGATGTTCTTGGAGCAGCCGTGAGAGATGAGGACGGAGACATTCCGCCGGAACTTTCGGGAAACGCAGAAAGGGAAGATCGGATTGACCACGAAGAAGAGGTAGAACAGGATCTGTAAGGCTTGGTTCACCGTCAGGTCATCTGTGCCAGGCTCTTGTTTGTACACCCATCTGCCGGGAGAGAAAGATTTTTTAAAATGCTTATAAAATTAGGTCATTATCGTCATCATCATCATCCTCATGTTTTAAAGTAGAAAAAAATATACTTGAGACTTGAATAGGGTTGGTGTAATTTAATCAGATGTTCGTATAGGCCTGGATGTTCAATGTTTCGCCAATATCATCATCATCATCATCATCATCATCATCATCATCATCATCATCATCATCATCATCATCATCATCATCATCATCATCTGGGA